TCAAGACATAAAAATGCAATGCCACCATATATTTCGGATGAGGATAGCTATGGAACTTTTCCAAATCAAAATAAGTTCCCCCACAGCATGCACTTTTAAGCCAAATATGGTTATGGTCATGAAATGCCAAAACTGAGTCAACCCAAGCCAAAACCGAGCCCAACAGGGGCCAAAGCAAATAGAACCGAACCTTTGCACAGCTATTGAGCAGGGGCAGGAATGAACACCACAACAGGCTCTCGAGTAGAAACTAAGACAAGCAAACCGAGCTCCCAAATTAAGCCAAAACCGAGTCTAGCAGGGTTAAAACAGGAGCCAAGCATCAATATAAACTCAGGCTTTAACAGAAATTAAATTTTCGGCTACTTCAAGGTGAAACCGATCCATTTAGAACCAAAGAGTAGTCAACATGCCTTTTGAGACATCAAGATATAGAGCCAACATATGTCTTAAACAAAAGCAACAATATAGAGAGCATGTTTAGGCCCCAACTCAAATATTCCAAACATGAAACAACTTCCAATAGAAGTTTAAACAAAATGATGCCTTGTGAGGTGTTAAACCCAAACACCAAAACAAGTTACAAGACTTGTCGAATTAAATAAATCATCCTACAACATGTATTTCAAGCAAGGAAGAGCCATAAGAAATCAAAGTTGAGCTCCTAAACATGCATGAAAGACCAAATAAACTCTCCAATATCTCATGCTAAATGAGAATAGATGAAAAGCCTCATAATACATATCCCAACATGCTTGCAAGGGGAGCTAACATTGTCTCAAAGCCATGTTTCAACCTTCTTATTCACAGTAATAGAAATATGTCATAATTTCATCTCAAGCAAGTAGAGAAAAGAGGAATACTTATATCATGCTATATTTTCACCATTTTAAGCAAGTAATCAAGTCCAATCCCTAGAACATGCTCATACTTCCATCTCTAGATGCTGGAGTAACATGTCTTTCAAAAATATAAGTGCAACACTAAGCTAACATGTCACATTATCCATTGCACCAAGCTAACAGAGACTCAGAATAGAGCAAAACCGAAAACAGGGCAAGGCACAAAAGGGGAAAAGGCACCTCCTTGAATCAAAAGAAAGTAACACAGGAACTTTAAAGGCACTCCCCAACTTCAATTTCTCCTCCAACAGCAAGAGGAAACCAATTCAAGCACCATAAAGTTAAAGAAGTGAGAAAAGAAAATGACAGAATTTTTTTTCCTTAGAGATTTTCGGCATTACTTTTTAGGTCTCCCCCAATGGGGTAAATATATCTATCAGGGAGAAGAAGAGCTCGCTTAAACTCACGCACCGCAGACCAGAGGCGAGGGAAACGGGAAAAATGGCGACAATCGTCGCAGAGAGGAGCGGGGATAAGAAATCGCGCATGGGGGGTTGCGGCTCGAGAGGCTGCGACATCATGAGAAAAGAGATAAGGATTTGCCGCAGGGGATGGGTCTCACAGATGCGTGCGCAAGAGGCGTCAACTGGCTCACGAACGAGATAGAGGAAGGTGGGGCGAGCTAAGGCTCGAGCAAGAGATAAACCCTGAGGGTTTAATGGGAGGAGAGAGATGGAGTTAGGTTAAGGATTTTAATATAGGTTATTAATTATAATAATAATAATAAAATATTATTTATCATTATAATTAACACTTAAATAGGTATTTTCCCCAAATCGCGCCGTCGCAATGAAGCGAACGTCCCCTTTAGGCAAAATCGATGTTCCGGACGCATCGGCGCAATCCGTTTCGTCATCTGGAGTTGTCGAGGCAGCCTCGTCGTCGATCGGGTTAAAAACGCGTCGCGGTCCGAATCCTATCAAAATTTCGGCTCGAATTCAATTAAAGAGGACGGCGAAGAGCGCAGCGGCGCCAAATTAACGAGTAAAGTCAATCCTAAGACTGGCAGTCCTATAGGAATGCTCCCTGAGTTCCTTCGAAGTAGTCTTACCTGCTAAGCAATAGCGGTCAAGACTGCCACATGGAACGTCAAGTCGAGCGAAGAAAAGTTCAGAATTGCTAACGGGGAGGGCTCCTTCACTAGTTTTCTAGGAGTAGTCGACAGAAAGGTCTTACGGCTAGATCCTAGGCTACTAAGGAGGGGAACACTACACCTCGAGCGAAAGCGAGGTCAACAAATTTGATTGTTATTGCAATAAGAGCACTCGGCACTGCAAAATAGTGTTGTTGAGAGGAACAAACGTACCATTCTAGAAAAAAACTCGTTGCATGCTTTTTCAACTACTTTTGATAAGAATTTTTTAGGTTGAAGTTGTCTCTACTGCATGCTACCTGATCAACTGATATCCTCATGCCACTATTGATTTGAAGTGTCAGTTAGATATTTTATCTGGTAGCCCTTCGGGTTATTCTAACTTAAAAGATTTATTATTGTCTAGCTCTTATGCCACGCCCCTATCATGGATGGAAATTAGATTCCCATAAAAAAGGTGTATATTCTTAAGTTAGGACATACAGAATGGTGTTGGAGTCCTAAAAATTCCAAAATCCTCATAAGCAGATATGTGTTTGATGAAAGGTCTCTACTATAATGAGTGACATCACTAACAAACAACCTTGATGGAGATGAGCTCGCTATATCAAAAAGCACTCAAATTGAGGTGGAACACTTTATTTCTGCATCACCTCGGCAAATTAGTGCTAATAAAGAGACTTTTACTGTTGCACATTCTTATTCATTGGTCGGGGATAGAGAGAGAAGGGTGATTTACCCACCTAAGTAATGCAATGAGGTAGATTTGAATTGATTGTTGCATGGGAGACTCTTTCGAGCAGTGCTCATATGATGACTACAAAGTAGCTCATGGCTATGGATAAAAAGATGGAGTCATTACATAAAAATCAAACTTGGGAACTCACCACTTCCAAAGAGAAAAAATGTCATATGATGCAAGTCGGTTTAAAAGAAAAAATATGATGCTTCAAAGGATGAAGGACCAATGTATAAAGCTCGATTGGTGCCAAAGGGATTCAATCGGATTCTAGTTCCTCCAGTTGTGAAGAACAAATCTATTTGTATGTTGTTCAGGATAGTTGATGCTTATGATTTAGAGCTTGAGCGGTTATATTTAAGACCACATTTCTACATAACAGGCTAGAAGAAGAAATCTACATGATCCAACCTAAGAATTAAGTTATGGAAGAAAAAGAGGATTATGTCCAATGGTTTAAGTGATTTGATATGTTCATGATTAGTAATGGCCTTATTAGAAGCAACTTTAACAGTTTTATGTACCTGAATAAGCAGACAAATACATCATTTGTGTATCTCTTTCTCTATGTGGATGACATGTTGATTATTGTTAATGAAAATTTTGAAGCTCCGAAGTTGAAAGATCTTAGATTTGAATTTAATGTTAAGGATTTTGGTGCAACCAAAAAGGTACTTGGGGTGGAGATTTTTCAATCAAAATTAGAAGGAATTTTGTTTTTCAAATAGTCTATGTTCAAAAAGTATTTGGTAGGTTCAAAATGAAGAATGCAAAATATGTCTACAGTCCATTGGCCACACGTTTTAGATTATCAACAGAGATATCTCCAACTACAGATACTAAGAAGAAATATATGAAGTTTGTTCCATATGCTAACATCAATGGTAGCTTAATATATGCATGATCTGCCCTTGTCTAGACTTAGCTCAGGCAGTAAACATATTGAGAAAACACATGAAAAATATAGAATAGCAACACTAGGATGCTGTTAAATGGATTATGAGATATTTATGCAGCCCTGAAAATACATGCTTGAAATTTAGCTCCTCTAAACAAGATTTCGGTATGCAGACTCTGATTATGCTGATGACTTAGATTGGAGATGTCTACTCAAGGATTTACATTCGCCCTACAAGAATGCGTTGTTATTTGGAGTTCTTTACAACATATTGTGCTGTTATCTACGACTAAGGCAAAATATATGATCATTTTGATTGTTGTAAAAAAAATTTACTTGATTGAGAAGCTTACATGAAGAGTTCAACGAAAAGATGATTGTCTTTTGTGATAATCAAAGCGTTATCCGTCTCAGTGAATATACCATGAGCAAACCAAGCACATCAACATCAGATTCCATTTTATTAAATATATCATCACCCAATGTAATGTTACAATAGAAAAAAATCAGTACATTGGAGAATCCAATTGCATAGTGACAAAACCTCTTCTAGCATTCAAGTTTGAGCATGGACTTAATTTATGTCCGATGCAGCTGAGTCGAAGGGGCATTGGAGAGCAGAGTGTAATTTGGGGGTTCACCTTTGATGCAGTTTTAAGAAAATGTGAAGATTTATAAATTAATGTCTTAAAATTTCTTACTAAATATTTTTGTTTTCAAATATACTTATCACTAAATATATTCTCTATCAAATATATTTCTGATTTAAAATATTTGATATCTAATATATTTTTGTCAAATACACTCTTTTTTAACTCTATAAATACACATTGTAGGTCATGGTTAAAGAGGGGAGTGAGAAATCAAGCAAGAAACCAATAAGCTTTGTATTCAGCAGTATCATCGATCTTCTTTTGTTAATAAAATTTTTGCTCCACCTCTAAGTGTTTTTTTCCCGTTTAAGAGTTTTCCCCATAAATCACGTGTTCTTAAGCCGTCTGATCGATTTTATTTGACAAAAAATAGTGTTCTTCTCATAACTATATATATATATAAATATATATTTACGTAACAAATAGACGACGAGTATGAAATTAAAAAAGACTTAGGCTGCTATTACAATTATATAAATAACTTATGAAATGCATGAAATAAGAAAATTAATATAATAACATAAAATAAGTTATCAAAAAGCAACAAACGATGATTAAAACAACAACTAAATATAGTTCAATGTTCAATCTCATTTATTTACATAAATTTTTTTTTTAAGTTTATTTAATAGTCTGAACTAGCAAACAAAAGTGAACCTTCTATGAACAAATATCAAAATATTAATCGAAAATATTAATTCATTTACAATCCTAATTGCGCCAAACAGCCAAATCACAAGCATCAAATGGAAAAGGCAGTATTTAAACGTATTTATAATCCAAAAAACATGTATATTTCAAATACCGCAGAAATTCTGGCTTAGATAAACAGAGCTCCAGAATGAAGAATATATAGCCTAGCATTCCTTATGCACGCATTACTGAACAAAAACACTGAAAAGGGAACCCTCTGAGTCCAAAGGTTTTGTTACAAACCTGTGATTTCCAGAATTGGAACAACAGCAGCTTCATTTGGCTTGTGGATGAGTTGAGATGTATTGGATGAGTTGAGAGGTGTTTGAGATATTGTCTGCCTCAATATCCGGGATTTCAATGGCAAATTCATCTTCTACTGCTGTGATAACTTGGACACTCTCGAGCACATCCAACTGCAGATCACTCTTAAAATCCGCAGCAGAGTTCACCTGACGAGAAACAAATGAAAAACAAACCAGTTTAAGGAAACTGTTCTAAAAAGTATATATAGACAGCAAGTCAGCAATTCACACCATTCGCTCCCCTTATTTTTGGTAAAAGAATTTTAGAATATCTCCTATTAAACAAGATATCATATTCTAGGATGCAGTAAAAATTTGTGCAATGTTTGGGGGCCATTCAGGATTACTTCTTTTAGTTCTTTTTCTTTTTTTACTTTGTTTATGTTTCATAAGTTTAAAATATGCTATATATTACTCCATTTACGTCGTCGTGGTGGTTAGTGGCAATCAGGCGATGATGGCTGCGGTGGCTACCGATGCCAGACGAGGGTGATAGTGGGGAAGCGGTGGCGGTTGCATACAATTATTTTTAAAAAATAATCGAAACAACTAAATTTATTAAGATTATTGTTGAAATCATGATTTATTTTAAAAAAAGTAATAGGAAATTACGAAATATTTTAAAAAAACAAATTTTTTTAAATAAAAAATAAAAACCAAAATGGAGATATCACATAAGTTGTTATGCATTAAAAGATCTAACACCTACACATAAATCTCTAATATCAAATAAAATATGCCAACATTAAAAAAAAAAGAAATACTCCATGACATGCATATTTTTTTATTTGATTACGACACTAAAATGTTAGATACATAAATATCAAAGTTCAAATGTTAGACACACACACACACATATAATATATATATATATATTTCTAAAAGGAGATAGATATTTGGTAGACGCTCAAATATCGATTTCACATGCACTTTTTCACCCCATGATGAGAGCCCGCGCCATGTGTCTAAAATTCCAGAGCCCTTGCGCCATCATGAGATCGAACCCTTAATTCTTCCTTCCCGCTCTGCTTGGGTTTCGCCCGAAGGCAAAACCCTGGTTTTGATTCCTTCGGTCGGTCGTAAATCTTTTCTCTCGTGCTCAACGAACTTCCCGCGCGACAATGACAAACATCTTTGCGTTCGTCGTCTTTGACGAAGGGCTTCGACGCAGTTCCTTTTCGAGATTTCGAGTTGCGGTTTCGAACTTACCGCACTCAATAACGACGACGAAGGCCTCTGCAGTTTTCGACGAAGGGCTTCGGCGCGGTTTCCTCGAGCTGCGGTTCTGTCTGCTTTCCTGTTCGCAGAAGGGCACGCCTTCTACTCCCTTCCTGCCCAGTAGAAGGTTCCCGTTCGCCTGTCTACTCTTCCTGCCCGCCAGACAATTTCTCCTGTCTTGTGAGGGACATGGCCTCGACGCTCCGTTCCTATGCAAATGCTCTAGCCGACAACTTTCCTACTCGTGCCCCTCCTCCGGGTTCAGCGTCTGGTTTTGCTATCGGTCAGTCCCGCAATGTTCCAGAATCTTTCCATGAGGCTCTTGAAGATGGAGGTGATTACACATTTATTAAAAAGCTTGGAAAAAAAAATGAGAACCTTGCACTTATTCTCACATAGGTTGAAACCCGCACTCTCGCGTCCTCTTGGCGCTTCTCTCTAGTAGGGAAATTCCTTTATGGTTACCCAAAACTGGAGATCATTAGGAAGGAGTTTGATACTATGAAATTATTGAACAGTTGGAACATTGGACTACTTGACGGTAGACATATACTTATTAAGCTATCTCATGATGTCGATTACACTCGCATTTTCTCTCGAAAAGCTATCAAGATTGACAATAGTTTTATTAAAATTCTGAAGTGGATTGTCGGTTTTGATCGAAAAGCGGAGCCCCCTATCATTCCTGTTTGGATAAAGTTTTCGGGGTTAAAATTACATCTGTTCAACATGGAAATCCTCTACTCTTTAGCATCTGCTTACGGTAAGTCTCTCAAGGTGGATAGTCTTACGCTTGCTGTCACTAGACCATCCGTGGCTTGTGTGTTAGTTGAGAGAGATATCACTCAACCAGCTCCGGATGAGATATGGATTGACACTATGCACAACGGGTATTAGCAAAATGTTGAAATGAAACCATATCCTCCTTATTGCTCTCATTGTAGTATGTTTGGCCACAGCTCTATTATGCTATCGTTTGCATCCTCATCTAAGGCCGAATATCGCTAAAGAACAACCACCTACTATCCCTGTTGAGAAGATGCAACCCGATCCTCTTCCCAACACCCATCTTCCCAACACCGCAGTTCCTGAAGAAGAACAACATATTACAGCTACAGATCTAGTTGTGGTCATACCACCCATTGTTATTGAAGACTCACTCACATGCCAAGACACGCGAGAGTGTTCCTTTGATCCAATAACAGATCAGCCAGTACAGCAGGTAGTTGCTTCTAATGTCCAACAATCTGTACATCCCCAGCACACTTTAGACAAAGATCAAGTGAACCAATCTTCGGAAGAGGAATGACAGGTCTATTCCAGAAGGAAGAAGAAGAATGGAGGCCGACTCCAGCTTGGGAACATAATGGATGATACATTGGTTACTACTGGCAATGACAATCATCTTACCAACTTATTAGCTTGCTCCTTTCCTAGAACCAGAGGTAGAGGCAAAACCAAATTGGGTTGCTCTCTAGCCACCTGATATTATGTATTTCTGCATTTTTAGGCTTTTTCTTTATGTCTAGTATTTACTTTTTAGTATTTTTTAGTTGTGGAACCCTTTGTGGTTTTGTTGTGAGCAGGGTGTCATGTTTGGGCTCTCCATCACATCGTATATGTATCTTTCTTTCTAGTTAATATATTAGCATTTTGGGGCTTTCAATATATATATATATATATATATAAAAGAAATATCTAGTATGTATGTAAATCCCCCGAATAGTATGTATGTAAATCCCCCAAATAGAAAACAAAAAAGTTCAAATGTTAGACACACACACACACAGATAGATATACATACATATAGTAAATCCCCCGAATAGAAAACAAAAATGATCCCGAAAAGGTCCTTAATTGTCATGCAAGAATAATTTGCTGGATCAAAAGATGACAAACAAAGGTGATCTTTGGCTTTTTGAAAAATAGGCTTGTAAAAGGAGATAACGGTGATCAAAACTGAAAGAAAATCATAAGAATTCATGCTTTCGTAGTTCTTTAACAGTTAATGCCGTGCTGCAATTTCCAGAAGCTTTTTGTTTTTTTCACTTTACTGATTTCCTTTTTAAGAAAATGATGGAGCAAGCAGTATACCACTTTGCATAAAAAAGATTGCCTCACTAATCAATTCCAAGTAGAAGAATGCAAAGAGAACGCTACAAAATTCCCTTCAACTGCATAATCTGAATTTCCAGATCAAATGAGCTTAATTCCCACCTTGAAGATACCTTACGTCGTATGCAGGTTCACTTAAAGAGGTTCCAGCATTTGGTGGTCTAATTTGTGATTATTATTATGTTTTATTTTTTTTATTTTTTTAGCTCTGCTAATTAATTTATGCCTTCGTGTTATCATTATCCGAGTTTGTTTTATTAGCTCCACTAATTTGCGAGCTAGGACCTTCAAAGAAAAGGAATAATCAAAAGAAAACAACCTCCGAATGGGCGCTTCTGATCTAGTTATTGAAATTCAAAAAGGGTCCAAAGTTTGTGGATGTGAATCAACAAAACGAGCTTGCAGCTTCATAAAATATGAATGATGACTATATTGAGTGAGAGGTGAATTGAAGGGATTACTGTCATGTTGGCTTCTATAAATATGTCTGCTTATCCAAAATAAGATGAACTTATCTATCTTCGGATTTTATCTATGAATGATCCAATCTTTAAAGCTGAGGGTTGTCTCATCCCCATGTTGTGGTATATAGAAATAGAATAAAACGATCGACGATGAAGCGAAAAATAGAACAAGAAAATTCACACCAAAAAACAGTAACACAGCGGAACACAGATTTACGTGGTTTGGTAAATTGACTACGTCCACAGAGTTGCAAAGGATTTTACTACTTGAGGAATTTACACCAGTCGATCGTCTCGACTTACACAGATTTACGTGGTTCGGCAAATTGCTCTCTTCTTCTCTCTCTACTCTGAAATACACCGAAGAAGATAAACGTACAAGAGAAATAAATCTAATTTCTCTTATGTCACAAGCCACCAAGAAGAAGCTAATGGGGAGCAATATTCTTCTTATTTTTTCTTCTTCCTTCTGCCACAAGGAACTACTACTTGCACTTCTCTTCCTCTGTCCAGTGAAAGCAGAACTGCCAAAGAAGAACACAAAAAAGGTCGTGTCAAATCTGAAGAAGAGCCGCTCCTTTTATCGCGAAGAGGAGGTTCGCGAACAGCAGGGAGGCAGGAGCGGTTCGCGACATTTCGCGATCGGCAGCGGGAGATGTCGCGACGTTTTGCGACAGATGAGCGGGAGCGGGAAGGCTAGATTGGGCGGACGGGCTCCATCCAACAAATCTCCCACTTGGAGACCGGTACACAGACTACGTCTTTTTCCTCAAACTGATATCCTTCACTAGCAGCGTAGCTCTTTTCTTCAATTATGAATCCTCCACCTCTGCAACTCAAAGTCATTGCCTTCACACCAAAAGACCAACTGAAGCTACGCACAACTGCAGTTTCTCAAGAGTAACACCCTTAGTCAACAAATCAGCAGGGTCAACATAGCCTTAGACCTCCAAGCTATTTTTAGGGTTACTCTTATATCTGCTTATAACTCTCAGTGCATGGGCAATGTCCTGTCTCTGCTGAAAGTCTTTTTCAACAAGTATAGTCTTATACATCTTATTGTCATCAAGCTCAATTTTCACCTGGTACACCCACTTGTAGTGTAATGTGTTCTTTCATGGTGAAAGTTCTGTCAGCTCCTACTTGCTCAAAGTTTCATCTTTTAAGTTTTATTCATATCTCTGTGGTTCTTTATCATCTGTCTGTGGAACAATAAGAATGAGTGTCCCGGACCCTCTCTTTTTCACTTCCATCACTGTCCTACGATGTAGCCTCTGACAGATCAACAAATATTTCCTTTCTACAGTAACTAGAGTCTCCAAGAGATGCAACTGAAGAAGGTTCCCACAA